CCCTCTGAAATGACAGCCCGAGCTCTATGTTGGCCCCTTTTAGCCATGGCTGGAGCTGAAGCAGCTGGGACACAGGGCATCATGTCCTGAGGCTGCATAGAGCAGGGGGGTCCTGGGGTCAACCCAGGAAACCATTTTCCCCCTCTAGGACTCCAGGCCTGTAATGGGAGGGGCTGCCATGAAGGTCTCCGACAGGCCCTGGATACATTTTTTTCCCATTTCTTGGTGATTAATATTTGGTTCCTTGTTACTTATGCAAATTTCTGCAGCTGGCTTGAATTTCTCCCCAGAAAATGGGGTTTTCTCTTCTGTCACATTGTCAAGCTGCAAATTTTCCAAACTTTTCTGCTTTGCTTCCTCTTGTACACTTTGCTGCTTAGAAATTTCTTCCATGATATACCCTAAATCATCTCTCAAGTTCAAAGTTCCACAGATCTCCAGGTCAGGGCCAAAATGCCACCAGTATTTTTGCATGGCAAGAATGACCTATACTCCAGTTTCCAATGAATTCCTCATCTCCATCTGAGACTACCTCAGTCTGGACTTCGTTGTCCATATTGCTATCAGCATTTTGGTCAAAGCCATTCAACAAGTCTCTAGGAAGTTCCAAAGTTTCCCACATCTTCCTGTCTTCTGAGCCCTCCAAGTCTCCAGGAAGTTCCAAACTTTCTCACATTTTCCTGTCTTCTTCTGAATCCTCTAAACTGTTCCAGCCTCTGACTGTTACCCAGTTCCAAAGTTGCTTCCACATTTTTGGGTATCTTTACAGCAGCACCTTACTCTACCAGTACAAATTTACTGTATTAGGCCATTTTCACGCTGCTAATAAAGACATACTTGAGACTGGGTAATTTATAACGGAAACAGGTTTAATTGACTCACAGTTCAGCATGGCTGGGGAGGCCTCCGGAAACTTACAGTTATGGCAGAAAGGGGAGCAAACACGTCCTTCTTCATATGGTGGCAGCAAGGAGAAGTGCATGGTAAAGGGGGAGAAAAGCCCCTTATGAAACCATCAAATCTTGTTAGAACTCATGCACTATCACAAGAACAGCATGGAGATAACCAACCCCATGATTCAATTACCTCCCACTGGGTCCCTCCCATGGTATGTGGGGACTACAGGAACTATAATTCAATGTGAGATTTGGGTGGGGACACACCCAAACCATATCACAGTCCATATGGCTGAGGACCATTGGGCCAGTGGTCTACCTCTTCTCCCAAAGTGACCTTATGCAAGGTACCTGGAGAAGGTCCACTTATGAGACTCTATTAAACTATTAAATACTATTTTCATTCACTGCTGAGTGAATAGAAAATCAGAAATTAGGTCCTATTTTATAGACTTCATAAAATCACTTGAATTAGTGGAGGGTTGGTTGGGGTTTTGTCTATTGTCATGAGTACAAGGTATCAGTCATGATGAGCCTCATTAAGTTTTGTGGGGAGGGGTGTACCAAAGTTCAGTAGATTACATGAGTGAGGAAGGATGGCAAAGCCTCTACAGGCAAGCAATGCCTAGAAGGAGGGGTACCTGTTCTACAGACTCCACACTGGAAATAAACACTGCTCATCAGGGGTTCAGCAAGACAGAGCTCTGGATCCAGATGGACTGCTGACCAACTGTGTGAACAGAATAGTTGTTCTCAAGCCTTCCCCTGCTTATTTCAATTACTGGACAAGTTCCACTACCACATTAATGCCAAGCTAAATTACACTAGACAATGCTTTTGGTTGACATAGAAGTCACCTTTTAATTTTCCCCAATCTTTTCTGCTATAGAGCAAAGCACTAATACTGTCTTGGCTTCTGTTGCTGTAATGCAGTCTTTAGGAATTTAGTCTTAAGTAAATTCTGGTAGAGTATCTCCTGTGTAATCCGTTTCAGTCTAGCATTTGCCAATGTCTTGGAAAAGAGGAAGACTGAAATTCAGAACTTTGTTTATTTAGTCAGTCAACAGAGTTTACTGAATGTTGACTACATGCTTGGGGCTGAGAAAAACAGAAGAAACCTAAGAGACACTCCTTGACCCAGAGAACCATCTCATCTTGCAGTAGGAATGAATGAATAAGCCTGATCTGTGGACCAGGAAAGGCTTTTCTGAAAACAGTGATGTATTAGATTGTCTGATAGTATTCGACACTCAGAGAGCAGCCCATAGAAAGGCCCTGAGGCAGAGAAAAGCATGGCTTATTTGAGGAGATAAAAGTTCATCATGGTCAGGGTGTAGTGCTAATGGAAAGAAAAGGGTTGAAGATGATTGAACAAAGTGATTTTTAGTTTACTTATTCATTTCTTTGGCTAGGAAGCCTGCTATTCTAAACCATTAATTCAATTATGAAGAATCCACATTTGAAAGCCTCAAATTTAATTTGATGTATGTACATTTATTGAGTAAGACGTGATTCCTGACCTCAGATAACTTAGAATCTAACAGGAAACATAAGACACATGTTCGTAGTATTATAATACAAGTCAGAATGTACCTTAAGGGAAGGACAGAGTGCCACATGAACGCAGGAACCGGTGTACTGGATTTGTTGCTGCATTCATTTCTTCAACAAATACTTAACTAGTATCTTCTCTGGGGTTACAAGGATGAACAAGACACAAACTTTAACTTTCAAGGAATTGATTATACTAAGCAAGACACATACATAAATCATTAGAATTCTTCCAGCACAGAGACAAAAATATGTACAGGCTATGAGATAAATCAATAGTTTTATTTTATTGAGCACTTATTAAATACTTTACATGCATTTCCCATACCCCCCTTACTAGGTAGGTATTCTGTCCTCATTTTTCAGATGAGAAAACTGGCACTGAGAGAAGTTAAATCAATTTCAGAGGTCCCAACATTTGAAAGTTGAGGATATGGAATTCAAACCCGGTTCTTACTCATGACAAGCCCCAGGCTCCTAACCATCCTACATAGAATCCCGCTTCCCAATCACTCATAGTGCTCAGGGCAGAGCATCTCATCTGAGCCAGGCAGAGATGAGGAATGCCTCCCTGAGCAGAGTTTAGGGATTAGGAAGTGTTGGGGAGGTGAAGGGGGGTAGATGGGTGCCCCAATAGAGGGAAAAGCTGAGTAGACCCAGGAGGCAGAAAACTATCCAATGTTAGGCTATTATGTCCATTCTAGGTTGTTGGAGATTAAGCCAGGAGGCAGAAATTAGCCAGAAATATGCCTGGAAAAGAATTGAGATCGTGCAGGATATAGAATGTATAGTGGGAAACAGAACTGGAATTGGGTTTGCATTTTAAAGTGATTACAAGGGCAGCTGTATGGGGGATGGCATTGAGGGAAATGAGAGTGGGAGAGAAGTTCAAGATTATTGTAGAGTTGTAGACTGGAGAAGGTGAGAGTCTGAACTTAGATATTAGCAGAGTGGATGGGAGGAGAGCAGAAGCTTGAGAAAAAGTCAGGCAGTGAAGTTAATGGGCTTTCTGAATTCTCTGGCTGTGAGGAGTCAGCTCAGGGAGAAATCGGGGTTGACTTCTAGGTTCCTGACTCAGGAGATGGAGTAGATAGATAGTGTTGCCACCAAATAAGGAGAAAGCAGGTTTGGGGGTTAGGTGATGAGTTCAGCTTTGGTCATGGTGAGTTGGAAGCTCCAGTGAGACATCTAGATGAAGCAGTCCCAAAAGAAATTGGGAATCTGAATCGAAGTTCATGATAGACACATGGGCTAGAAAAAGATTTCAGAACCATCAGCCTAATGGTGAAGTTAAAGCAAAGAGAGTGGAAGAGAGTCCTCAGGCAGAGAGGGTAGAGCGAGCTGAATGTGGGATGGTCATGCGGGGCAGGCGGGGCAGGCAACTCTTGGAGGGGACACCCATGTGAAGGTCCTTAAAGAGAAATAAAGGACACTTTAGGCAGTGTAATAGTGTGAGCAAAATAGGGGAAAAAGCAAGAGATGTTTTCAGATAATGTAATGGTTCAATGTGGCTGGATAATAGTGGGTTTGATGCAGGTATCAGGTGACTAAGCTGGGAATGGGTTATAGTCTTGAGAGCCTGAGGCCAGGCAATGAGAATGGAATACTATTCAGCCTTGAAAAGAAAAAAAATTCTGGTACATGCTTCAGTATGGATGAACCTTGAGGACATTATGCTAAGAGAAATACGCCAGTCCCGAAAAGACATATGCTGTATGATTCCGTTTATATGAGGTATTTTAAGTTATCAAATTCATAGAGACAAAAGGTAGAATGGTGGTTGCCAGAGCTGGGGGAGGGCAAAAAGTGGAGTTGTTTAATAGGTGCAGAGTATCCATTTTTCACAAGGAAGAAAGGTATGTGATGGGATAGTGGTGATGCTTGCACAACCACACTTAATGCTGCTGAACTGTACACTTAAAAAATGGTGGCCAGGCATGGTGTCTCATGCCTGTAATCCCAGCACTTTGGGAGGCTGAGGAGGATGGATCAAGAGGTCAAGAGATCGAGACCATCCTGGCCAATGTGGTGAAACCCCGTCTCTACTAAAAATACAAAAATTAGCTGAGCGTGGTGGTGGGCACCTGTAGTCCCAGCTACTCAGGAGACTGAGACAGGAGAATCGCTTGAACCCAGGAGGTGGAGGTTGCAGTGAGCAGAGATGGTGCCACTGCACTGCAGCCTGGGCGACAAGAGTGAAACTCCGTCTCAAAACCAAACAAACAACCAAAAAAACAAGATGGGGAGGGATAGGAAAATATTCATTAAAAGGATACCAAAAAATGGTAAGATGATAAAATTTTATGTTATGTTATTTTGCCACAATTAAAAATATCAAAAGAAGAAAAACAAAGGGAAAAGAAGTAATTTTTAAAGAAAGAAAGAAAGAAAAAGGCAGGACTTCTATTCAGAGGCTATTTCCAATAGTTCTGAGGAGAGCCAATGTGGCTAGAATTGGGTAGGTAGCAGCGGAACTGTTAGTGGACTATGAAAGGGCTGTGTTTGTATGTCAGGGTCAGTCAAATGTTGGCAATGTCATATGGTTCAACACAGTAGAAAGGCAAAAGGAGACAAATCCTTTAATGAAGTTCAAGAAAATGTACATTCTAACCATTTAAATTAAATTGCAGAATATTTCCTGGGGCACTTGCTCTCAAACTAATCATCCAAATAGCAAATATTTTCCATTTTCAATCATCTTAGGTCAATTTGAAAACAGCTTTTTATTTTTTATTGGAGAAACTCATATTGTCTTCACTTGTTCAATGTGAAGTTGAGTTGCCAAAATTGCCTTCAGTACACATTTGTCTTTTGTATTTCAAACAGAGAAAAGTTTCCATTTCCCCATTTCATTGTGAAAGTTTTCAAAAAGTTTGGGCAGTGCCCAGTGCTGTCCCCATCACTCACTTCATCATTTCAGCTCTAGTTCTTGCACTTGGCAGACTTGGAATGCCAAGTTTCTGCTTCAGTGCTGGTCAAAATCCCACAGAGGACTTTGGTACCAATACCCGCTGATAATTCTCTGAGCTGAGAGTTGTTAACTTTTCAACACAGTGACAGAATGAAAAGAGCAGGTTTTATCCCTTATAATCAACCAGGACTTTAAAAATTCACACACACATGAGGATCAGACTCTGCTGTCTATAAGCACCCCAAGAGATTATTAAAAAGGAAATTTCCAAGTGGTTTTCATAGAGATTTCAATTCTGTGTATCTAGGATGGGGTCTGGGAATCTGTTTTTAACAAAAAGTAGGTTAATTCTGATACAGGTGGTCCATACACTATTTTTTCAGAAATTGAGAAGTGAAATCAGGGCTTATTTTTTCTTAAGGATAATTACAGTCAAACTAATAATATTGTTCTTTTAAATTGGTAGATATTCTAGCATTCTGAGTGCATTTTTATTTATCATATAGTACATCCAAAAATCATTTTTCTAAACTTTGGAAACATTTTCAGCAAATGAATGCATAAAATGAGATACGGTGTATTTTACTACAGTTTTACTGGTATTTGAGGACAAAAGTCATAGTTATCCTTTCTCCTGTTTTCTCCAGCTCTCTACGTATAGAAGGAGGAGGAGGAGGAGGAAGTAATCAGAGCATTAAGAAGCAAAGAGAGTAGAATGTTACTGGGGGTGCTACAATCACCGAGATAATAGCAGGAAGTGGGGTGGAGAGGCAGGTTATAAATCAGAAAGAAGAATCCTCAGAGAAGGCTGGGAAGCAGGTAATTTTCAGAGTTGAGGAAGTGGGTACACTTGTAAAACAGAAGAGATTTTTGGATGAAGGTTATAGAATAGCAGTCTGGAGGCAGCAGTGGGAGCCAGTTTCTGTCCCTAGATACTAGAGCTCCAAGAGCCTGAGAGGATGACTCATCTCTGCAGAAGGAGGTGGGAAGGAATGTTGTTGCCAGGGGACCCAGTGGCTACGACAGAAAGATGCCAAAAAATGGTACTGGATTTCTCCCAACACCTTTGTCATTGGTCATAAGAGACTTCCCCAAACAATGAAATACTGTTTGGAGATCCCACTGGATATAGGACCAAAGGGCAAGCAGCATTGTGAGCAAGGAGATGGAAACCCAGAAAGGGATACCTCACTACCTGCACAACACAAATCGGGTCAAGGAGAATGTTCAGGAGTTGATTTCCTTTGGAAGCTCGGCGGGGGAAGGAATACGCACTTCAGAGCAGGACTTGAAAAGTGAGATGCTTAGGGACCAGGCAATAAAGTGAATGAGTGATGGTGGATTAGTGAAGAGTGTGAACAACTAAGAGATCTCCAACCTCACCTAAAGGGACTGACCTTGCCTCTGTCCAGCTATTTTCAGGTGGGCATATAGAATGTAGGGCAACAAATCCTCTGTCATTAATGAGGCCCAATGTTGGCAACTAATTCAGATGTTAAGTAAAATGCACTGTCAGCCAGACCAAACATATCTATAGCCAGATCTACCCCATGGGCTGCCAATGCATGGTCTCAGCTTTGGAGCCCGAGAGACAGTTATTAAAACTCTTTGATACTCAGTTTTCTCATTCATGAAATGATACGTGGAAAAATACTCGACTGATTTTTTTGAAAGTTATTTTTGGAAATAATTAGACTTACTCTTCATGTCTTTCAATGAATGTATGTAAAGTATTTTTCCAGTGTCTGCTACTGAGTAGATCCTCAGTTAATGGCTCTTATATTGATCAGAATCATGCTTTTTTTCCCCAACATTTTCTTCCCCAAACAATCAAGCAACTGCCTTTTCTTAGAAATGTAAAAGATTGCAGTGTCTGCAACTATCCTTCAGGTCAAGAGATGACTATTAGTGTAGAAAAGGTGTGTGGCTCAGCTCCCTTCCCTCAGCTGCCCTGTTCCAGCACCTTCCTTTCAGATCCTCTGGTCCTAGAGATGCCTGAATGTCACAGGCAGAAATATACAAATTCTACACTAAAAGAAGGTGTACAGGAACCTTTAAACAACAGCATCGAAAGCATCTGTTAAAGTAACGCTTTCCACTGAGTGCTTTGCTAGACATGGTACAAAGAGAATTCAACAGACACAGTTTCTTTCCTCTTAGAAGACCTAAGACATTACAAAGACAACAACAGATATTTTATATTCATATAAAGTGAGATAAATAGCACATGAACAAATAAATTAATGAACCTCCCTACAAAAAAAAAATTGAGGAAAGGGATGCCTGCATTTATTGGTAAGAGAATAATCTGATGCATAGTACACTGGGGAAAACCACGTTGTCTTTTTCTATCTATCAGGGAGCTCATAAAGAGATGAGATTTCGAAATTGAGTAATCTCAAGAGATTCCTTGGTGAGTTAACAAGAAATGAATGTCCAGATATATAGAGAGGGGAGCATTCCAAATATAGTGTGAGACTTGAGGAGCAGTTTAGGGATGGAAAAAGATGACTGCTTAAATGGATTTAAATACTTTTGCCTGGAAGGATATGATCCTGGTGAAAAACTAAGATGTGACTGACTAGGAAATTCTGAGAATGAAATGATATGAAGCAATGTTCTGTTGAACTCCCCAGACCTGGCCTTCCTCAGGTAATGTCCACAGGCCTGGGAAAAGTCTGCCATCTTCTAGCAAGAGCTTATTTATTTTCACCTGGTTTTGTGGTGTTTTTCAGTTGGTTTAAGTCAACTTGCTCCTCTATTCTTTTCTGTAGTCTTCCCGTGTAGGCTCAGGGTAATCTGACTACAAACTAGTACTAGGGATGGAGACTCAGGAAGACGGGGACAATGCACAGTTGCTCTGTTTCTAGCAGGAGTGGTTCTCACTGTGTGTGACTAGCTTGCTGAACCATGACCATCTGCAGTGGCTGTCAGGGGCCTATGTGGGGAAAGTTTGCCTGAACTTTCCTCCTCTTAGATTCTGCTTATCCTTGACCGCTCATGTAGCTGTCTGTAATTTCTTGTCAAGGAAATGATATTTTGTTTTCGTAAGGCTAAATTTGTTCCAGGGGCTTTTTTTTCTTCTTAAAAACATTGTGTCCCATGATTAACTAAGGATTAAAAAAAAGTTGTGGGGAGGAAACCTAATTTCTTCCAAAATCTTTGAACCTGTCAGTTGAACTCAGCAGGAATAAAGAAATAAGCTGATTTGAAATGTGATAACTAACTAGCTAAATACACACACACACACACACACCCACCCATATTTGTATGGAAAAAATTTCAGGATTCCAATATATTCTTTTTGCCTCTACCTATGCTGACAGAGGTAACAGAAAGCAAAAATAAATATTTATTTGTAGTATTCTAAACAAAGAGTTTGGTAGTGGCATTTGCTGCTTGGCTTCATCCTGGCTTCTGACCTACTTATCATCCGTGTCTCTTTAGGCAAGTTACTCAGCTATAGTCTGCTTTACTTTCCTTTATGATAGATGGGAAGGGAGAGGGCTACAAAGTAGCACCTATGTTAGACTGGCTATGGAGATTAAATTAATGCATGTAAACTACTTGAAGAGTGTCTGACACCCAGTAAGTATTGAATAAATGTTAGCTAGGATCATGTGTACAATTACTGTATAATGATCATGATTGAGATTGAGAAGGTATGAGCCTAAAGGTAGGACTAAATTGAATTAGCCTTGGCCTAAGGTTCTCAGGTAGTTGAGCTATAATTAAATGCCTTTGGACAATCCTTTTTCAAGTATCAGAGATCTTGGGAGGGTTAGCCCTGAGCAAAACTTCTGCTTCACCACGCCCCATGAAGGCCTAGAGACTGGGATGCCCTGAGAGGCCATATGAGAATGAATAGGAGGGAGACATTTACTGTAGTTCTAGCCTAATCCCAAATTCTATTAATTCAGCAAGTGATCTTTTCAAAGGGCATTCTAATATTCAAAATTCTCTGCATCTTCTTATATATTCCTTCTGCTAAACACTATACATTTTAGGAGATAAGAATAATAATACATGAATAAAATGTAAAAGTATTTTTCCTCTTTCTAATTAAACATGACATACAAGTAGTTCTTGAATTAGAACTACTAATTCCCTAATAATAATATTATTATTTTCTGCTAGACAATGTTTTATAGACATCTAGCAAGTGGCCTCACAGTTCCATTGAATTCATAGATATTTCTAAACGTTGGAGAAAATCCGAAAACTGGATGTCCTCTTCGTACGTTTCCATTGAAGTTTATGGCAGTTTCTGGGCACAATCACATCAACATTGCACATCTATAGATAGTTTACAGGTTACATAACTGTGGTTTTGGATTTAATTGCCAACTCGTTACCCTGATAGTAATTGCAGACAGGGGAATAGCAGAGTAAAGGGGCCTGCCCATTGTGTTACTGCTGCCTATAAAAACAAATAGGATCCTTAGGGTTCAATTGCAGGACTTATAATTGCACCTAACGTTAAAATGGGAACTTTGGACATCTGGAAGATGAGTCTGGATTTGGTCATTTGCCTTTAGGAATTAAATTCACGAAATTGTGATGGTCCTAAAGAACAGTGGTGTTCCCACCTGGATTTATGCACAGGCAGAAATGACAAAGGTGAATGTGAGCTGGTCTGCAAAGCCATATAAGTCAGGAGAGAAAAATGGAGTTGGGTTTTCAACTCACAAGTAATCCAGGATGATGACTGGCTTCTTTGGTCCTAACATGAAAATAACTCATCTAAAATGAAGAGCAGGTATATAAAAAGTTTGTTCTTACTTGGCAAAAACATGCATGGTTTCTGGAACTTGTAACTACACAGGTGTCACTTGGCATCAGAGAGCCCATTTAGGAAAAGAATGACCCATGGTGACATGGGCTTGTTGGAAAGGGTCAGGAAAGGAACATATACAGCAAAAGGTACATAACAGGTTTCCGTAGAGAACGCTGGGTATCATTTTCTTCCACTCATCCTCCTCTCCATCATCAAAGCCAAACAGTTACATAGTTATGCACGCTACCCTGCCCAATGCATTACACATGCCAATAAGAGAGGTAGGACTGTTGTTTCTATTTTTTTCTTTCTAAAGCTATGAAAAGTTCTTTGTTTGTTCCTTATATAGTTTTAGGAATACCTTTGAGGAAATTGCCTTTATTCTTTATAGCAGATTTCATATAAAGCAAGTTTTGTGTTGCTTAGGAATAAAATTTTAGGCTTCTGGAATATTTTCTATTTTGTCTCTCCATAAAAAGATAATTTCAATTTCCCTAAATTACGAGGAATCTACTCTTCATGGTGTAGCAAAATTTTAAATTATGTAATTTAGATTACTCCAGAGTAAAACTTCTTAAAAACTGAGAGCCCAGCTTAAGTGTATGGTCTAGAGGCAAGAGTTAATGGCATGGAAAAGTAGTAAAAGGTTGGATTAGAAGGTTTAATACTTATGATCTCTCAGCCCATTGCAGTTTACTCACTCCTTAGGAGACACAGATGGGACACGGCAGGTGTGTGTAAGGAGCGAAGCAATTCATGAATACTCAGCCATGAAATAGAAAATCAAAATGAAATAATATGACTGCAACTATCTTGGTCTATTAACATTCAAATATTAATACCTACTGTTCTTTGAAAGCCACTGCTGAATATTTACTGGTAAGAAAAAAAAAAGATAGCTTAGGAAGAGGAAGATGTTCAGGAAAAGCATTTAAGCAGGGTTTGAAAGACTTGTGATTTTCTTAACTCAGGGTAATAGTCGACCAATTAAAGTAGGTTTCCCATCCAAATGTTTCCCATCCAAAATGATCCTCTTTTTTCCCCAAGCGATCTAATTTAGGATCCCTTGGAAAAAAATTCCAAAATGCATTACAACTATTCATAAGGGTGACACATGGACCTATTTTTCTAAGGACTTTGATTTAATATTTGAATGCAACGGTATTTGACTTTGTTAGTGTAGAATATTTAAACTTAAAAAGAAAATACCTTAATTTGCTTATGCATAAGCCTATTAAACACATTTCTAGTGGATCTTATATTTATTCTCTAGAACATAACCTATCTTTGAAATGGTATATTAGTTTTTAAAAAGTCATTCCTAAGCTGAATAATTAAACTGAAAACAAAAGCTATTCTTAGGGTGTATTCCACATATAAAACTATGCACACGATGCTTTGATTCAAACAATATACTTATAAAACTTTGTTATTGTTTGAGTTCCATATTCAGAATGGCAACTTTTGTTTTTGATGATTATTCCATCCTGAAACAATTTCCCCCCTGCCCAATTAAACCAGAATTAGGAGCACATTTATATCTGAAGAGACTTAAGCTTCTCAACTGCCTGCTTCAGAAATGTAGACCTTTAGTGCTTGTGTTCATTTTGTCTCTTTGTGGAAGGCTCAAAAGAAAACAGAATCAATTCCCTTAAGTTTTTCTGGAAGAAAAAGGTTGCTTTTGTTGCTTTGATCTTAGCATGTTGTGCATTTTTTATTGGCTGTTGAATATAAAAAGCCACAGCCTCATCTGGTTTTTCTGCTGTATTCTCATATTGTAAATCACATAATGCCTTCCAATCTAAAGTAAAACGCCTAAGTCCAAAATACCACTTCAAAATGGATTTATCATTATAGTTGATAGAAAGATTTCCAGGGTGTAAGAAAACAATTCAACAGTTTGATTAATATGCCACAGACTGCTAAAAATATATTCATGCATTTTAGACGATAAATTCCAGGATATAGACATACACTCATGCTATTTTAGATCCTTTTTTCCTACCATTGCAAGAGGCTGCTTTAGCTAATGCAACAGCTGGCTAGGTTATTGCTTCAACAATATAATTCATAATGCAAAAGCAGCTCGTTTCCAAACATTTTAGAGCAACTCAAGTTGTTTACATCTCCTGTGGGTGATTTTCCTATAACTTTGTGCCAATTGGTGTCATACTATTTGGTAAAAATCTACATTAAATCAAGACAACTGCACTTAGTTAAATTTCTCTCATACAGAGAATTATAGAAAAATTACAGTAGCTGATTTGAGCTCATCATCATTAAGTAGATACAGGGTTTTAGAAAATGAATGCAAACTACAAAAATGGAGTTGTATAATTAAACATTAAATAGTCCAAGTAATAAAAGTCATAGATTAATTGTCTCTCAGTTCTAGTCAGATCCTTTAAATACTGTCTCACGACTTGAGCATTGGTTCTTTCATCGGAAGAGTGCCTATCCTTAAAGTTGGGAAATTTCAGCTCCTTTGGAGCACCTATCATCTGTAAAAAGTAATTGGCATCTTCTTCCAAAGTTTCAAATTTCCCTACAAAATCATAGTTGATCAAACATGGATAGCAGAGTTTGCTGACCTTTTCCCAGTGAATGTCCATTCCTACTGGACGGTGGGAATCCAGCAAGTAGTGGATAAACTCTTTGAACCTGACTCCAGATCCATTAATTAATGCTTCTTCACAGGCATTTGGTCGGTATTTCTTGATAATTGCCTTTCCAAATACTGGATGGTAATAACTATTGGGGTGTTCAAATTTGTCCCTAAAGGCTGATACTAATCTTTCCATGGGGTCACGAACAAACACAGCTTTGGTGTAAGTATTTAAGCGGGTATATATCCCTTTTAGGTCAAAGCTATCTAGCTTCTTCAAATGCTTCCCGTAGTGGACAGCATCATGGGAGATGTTGTATGCAGAGGAAGCCAATCCATTTAGTACCATCAGAATTCTTTTCCAATTGGAACAGCCAGCCTTAGGTACCTCGCAATATAAGATTTTGTGTTTATCTTCTACATAGATTCTGGATACCATATGAAAAAGATGTGGCTGGTGACGACTCACCCCACCATATTTCTTGCAAAACTCCTGAAGGAAAGACCTCCGTTTCTCTTGGATCTCATCAGTTTTCTTCCATTTGTTATCTTTGACTAAACTTTTGTTTAAAGGGTGAATGTCCACTGGCCAATGCATGTTGCTGAACTTGTTGAAAACAGTCTTAGCTCCTTGATGTTTTTCAATCCTCCACTTCTCTGTTGGTGACCCTGTGGACTTACTTAAAGCTTGATCCCCTCCTTGTGAATAACTGGTCTTTGTGAAGACCCTAGTAGATCTCTCAGAATTGAGTAGAAGATTTTCCTTTTCTTCTCTTACATCCTCAGGCATGTGAGACTTGGGGTTCTGTTAAAATAAAGAAGGAGAAATGTTGAAAGCACAGTCACAAGTGTGGGTATACTAGATAAGGAACTTAACATATTTGTTTTAAAATACTATCGAGGAGAGCATATTTCATATAAGCTGCCAGAACAATTTAGCAAGGCATGCTGAATATACATTTTGTAGTGAGCTTCTTCACAGAAAATGTAGCAATGAGAAACGGCATCTACAGGATAGAGTGGAAAGGGCCCTGTATTTTTGTTCTAGCTTTACCTGTAATGCAATAGAATGTAACTCAACCATTCTGGGCATCTATGACTTTTGGGATATTAATAAGTATGTCATCTTCAAGTACTGTTTTAGTTTGCGTACCTGAATGTAGATACAAACTGGAGATGTTTTGAGATTGAAACTTTTGTTGTTTTTAGGGAGCACTCTGTAATGCACAGAATAGTTCAAAATCATAAATTACAACTTAAAATTGTGTCAAGGCTAATTATAAATCTTGATGACCATTTCAGTTTTCTAAGTGCTTACAAAAAGTCATGTTTTTTTGTTTTTTTGTTTTTTTTTTTTCTGGGAAAATGCTCTATTTTTCTAAAGTATTTATCACAATAATTTAAGAATTTATTATGATCATAGTATACAATCTCATTAATGTAATGTATGGGACCTCCTATTTTTCCCAAGTGAAGAATGACTAAGGAATCCAGAAAAGTCTACTTCACGTCCTGCTCCATAAAGTTGTATCAAGGTAGAGTAAAAATGTAGTTATCTTTCCAGCAGGATGAATGAGTCCATTTACTACATAGTGTTCATCTTGCCATATCCTTCCTACAACTCTCGCAGTAAAAGAAGACATGGAAGATGGGATTTACAAGATGGCATCCTCTGGTAGGGATGAAAATTTTAAGGACATTGGCGTTTACTCTGGGTAAACTAGGGAACTTTTGTAAGTAACATGATCTTACTTAGACTTGAAAAGGATGGTGTGGAGAGGAATGGATTGAGATATACATATAAGGTTCTCAGCATGTTATTGGAAAAGTAAATGAATAAATTCTGTGCTGCGGGCATAATGCATGGTCTCATCAGCCTAGAGGTGGAGGGAGTAGTGGGGAAAGTTTCCTAGGGAATATAAACATGATTGCAAATATATATATATACACACACATGATACACATGATTGCATATATATGTAGTATATATGTGTGTGTGTGTGTATACACAATTTTAAACTATTGTATCCCCAAGAGTGCCTAGAATGGTCTATAGCCTATAATAATTTCTCTCAAATATTTGTGGAATGAACAAGTGAATGAGTGAATGGAATTAGGTCTTCAAGGATAATTAGTAATTTTCTAGCAAATTAAGCAATAGAACAGAGGAATAAAGCACTGTTCATGGAGCCACTTCCAGACATCGTGGTCATTCCACCAGCTGAGGTTGAAGGGCGCTGCTTTTTTTCTAGTGCAAGAGGACTGTGTGAATAAGCCCCTGAACACCATATACCAACGTGTATAGCCCCGTGTATTACTCTGTTCTCATGCTGCTAATAAAGACATACCCGAGACTGGGTAATTTATAAAGAAAAACATGTTCAATGAACTTACAATTCTACATGGCTGGGGAGGCCTCACAATCACGGCAGAAGGTAAAGGAAGAGCAAAGGCATGTCTTATATGGTGGCAGGCAAGAGAGAGCATATGCAGGGGAACTGCCCTTTCTAAAACCATCAAATCTCGTGAGACTTATTCACTACCATGAGGACAGCATGGGAAAAACCCACCCTCATGATTCAATTACCTCCCACCTGGTCCCTCCCATGACAAGTGGGGAGTATAGGAGCTACAATTCAAGATGACATTTGGGTTGGGACACAGCCAAACCATATCACTCCCTAAAACAGCCACTCCAAATCTTCTATACCACTGGACCATCTATTTGGAGTTTTAACTCTAAAACCGTTTGTCTGCTATCTTCTCCAGAGACTGCCAGGATTACTTCAAAGCCCTTTATACTTCTTTACTCTATTTGTAGTACATGAAGTTGTCACTGAAAATACAAAATTTGACTGTGGTTTGACAGATCATAGGGTTATCGGTACACATGCATGGAAAATACTTAGTACAGGCCAAATATAAAACTGCCATGATATTTGTACTATTACTTCTTCTGCTATTACCGCTATAAATAATAACTACTATTATTGTTGTTTTAGCAGCAGTAGTAGTAGTTACAGTGCTTTAATCCCAGGGACCTGGTGAATTTCAAGGCTCCCCATTTGTCCATTACTAGTCAGTCTGTAATTTGTGTGTCCCTACATATGCCCTCACCAGGTCTCTTCTCTGCTTGACAATCAGAAACAAAAACAAAATCCACCTTCCCCTGTGGCTTCTGGACTTTCTGCTTTGTGGCCATCAAATTCCCCTTTAATCTCCAGGGATTTCTGGAATGTTTGTTTCCAAGACTCTCTGTAAATGAAACTTGGCTGACTCCCAACTCTCTGTGTCTCTTGCACTTTCTCAAGTAGATGAAACTTCACTTCCTTGAACTACTTGTCTCTCCGGCCAGAAGATAGGGAGTGATTTCCCTGCAGCCCACGGCTGCTTCCAGGACATCACCCAGCTAAGCCTCCTGCTTCTGTGAAATCAAAGTATTCTCCTTAAGTCTCCTTCTCCCCCTGCTCTTGTTGTCATCTACCTTTATCACTGATCTGTCCACTTGATGCACTCCAGCTTCTAACTCAGCTCCTGTCATTACGTTTATTGACTCTGACGTCCAGTCAACTCTCAGTTCCTTGACCACTTCGTTTTTAACAGAGGAGCTCTCCACTTCACATCAACCAGAGCCTTTACTATTCCCACCATCTCTCTGACCACCCTTGTCTCACCTTCCAGTTCAGTGTTATTTCCTGCTTTGCAATTCTTTGACCACTTTTCACTGTTACCCAGGTCTTAACAGCCAGCACGACTGGCTCTGCATTCTTCAGCTCTCAGTTGGAAAGTCACCTCTGTCAAAGGGCTTTCCCTATTCATCCTGTCTAGGTTATTTTCCTCCCTTCCAAAACATTTCCTACAGAACCCTGTTTATGTTTCTCATAGCACTAATCACACTGAGAAATGATTTATTTCCTTCTCTGTTGTTTTTTTCACCCCACTCCACCTCCATTGCACCAGCATATAACTGCAGAGAGGTCTTATCTTTCTTGCTCTCTGTGGTACTAAGCACACTGCCTGGTGCATAGAAGGTGATCAAGACATAATTCTTGGATAAGTAAATGTGCTTATAATTTAATAGTGGTCTTCTAAACAATTGTTTTAGGACCTTGTGGAAGAAAAACAACATTGATCAAAAGGTCAAGTTAAACTTACGTAAACAATTGACCAATTCTTGTTAAGGTGACGAGAATCTGTGTTTAAATAAACCGTTGGCAAAAGAGAAAACAAATAAAATAAGCACATGGAAAGCTGCTCGCAGTCAAGTAGATGTGGAGGCTTCGAGTCTAACCTGCCTGCCAAATCAGATCTGTTCAAAGTCCCTCAATGCTGTCTCCAAACCCGTCAAGGGCTTCCCAGCAACCTGGATCCCCAGGCCTTACTGTGGACATTCTGAATCAGAATGTCTGAGTGTAAGGCCCCTGACTTTGATTTCAGCAAGATCCCCAGGTACTCCAGTGGCAGTCATAGCATTTGAAAGGAAAGTATAAAAATAAGGCACAAGCCCTGACAAGTTCCTTTCATCCTATCTGGAGGAGAAAGACATCAAGTGTAGTGGACTTGAATATTTCAGAAGGAGGGGAATAATTTGGATGTAGAGTAGGAATGTCACATGAGCCCTCATTTAGACTAGATGCAATATCTTTCTTGTTTATCCATTTCTCTTTGCTGGAAGACTTTGATCCCCAAGTAATTTTCTAAAGACTAGTGTAGCTGGGGAGATAACTGCATGAGGGAAAGGTTTACCACTCATTGTAAATTAGTCTCCTGCTAGTTTATTGAGTGCCAGTAAGTTTCCTCTACTGTAACCAAAATGAGATATGGCAAAAAGGGTTAATTCTCTAAAGCGCCAGTGACCCACAAGGGTGGCCACCAGACCTTCTCCTGGAACTCCTCATCTCAATGTCATTCACCTTATAAAATCTGTTACTCAGGTTTGATGACATCCCTCCCAACCCCCACCCAACTCTATTTTCTTCCAGTCACAGCAAAGACTCCATGACTAAGAGGTTTGTATTACTAAAATCAAAGCTAATGACATTTCACATTTAAAGCTCATACCAACAAAGTCCCATCATCATCATCATCATCATCATCATCATCACAACAATAATAAAAGAATAAAATCTTATATCTCCATTTTCCTTGGGACACTTTATTCTGATTGTCCCTAAGGCAAACATGTATAATAAAGCCAAAATTATCCTGTTGCCTTCAAAAGTGGCTCCCCCTGTGTTCTTTTCCGTTTTTGAAAAGGTCCTATTACTTTCCTGTCACCCACTCACAAAATCCGAGAGATGCTTTAACAATGGTAAAGTCAATTGGCTATTTTACATCTCATAATACTTCTTTTTTTGTATCTTTCTAAATTAATTACCCCCTAATTGGATATTTATTACCCTGCTAATTAGTCTCCCTGTAATTATTACTAAATTATTCTTCCTCATTTTGTTTTTTATTTCTTAACATTTTGGACGGGATCCTCTAGCATCAGTGAACGTCCCCTTTCCTTCGCTGGCAGTTGCAGCCTGGTGCTGCTGAGCTTCTTCTCTTTTTTTTTTTTTTTTTTTGCTTCTCTCTTAACACATGCCCTGTCCTCCACTTGCTTTTATCTGGGCTCTTGGCATCCCCCACTCATGGTCTCTTCCTTTCTCTTCCTTTCTTGGGACTTTCAAAGTCTTCTAGTTTGATGTAAAAATCCTACTTTCTCCATGACAACCACCCAGGTCTCCAGTGAGTGATTCTACTCCCTTTGAAATGACTATAGCACTTAGTCTGTACCTCCTGTAAGGAAAGTAATTTTAT